ATATATATATATATATATATATATATATGCCAACAGGAATGTGTTCCTACTCATAGGAACGCAGCATTTTACCTGAATTGTTATTTATCAAGGCGAGTACCTAATGACTGTCATGGCGAGATCGATCATGTCGCACGGCAACTGTGAACGCACCCGCTCATAGTGTGCTTGGCTCACGGTGTGCAATAATTCCGCCAGCATTTCTCAAACCGGATGCGCTTCAGAGACGCACACGTTCGTGCCATCGACTAGAAGTGTATGCGTCCGTCCCTGATTCCAGAAATCTTTATGTGATTACTGGACAGTGGTGCACAGTAACTTTTATTGGTGATTGATCCTGCCACTGGTTTATCTGCCATATACATAGATGGCTTCACTGGATAGGAATATCCAAATAGAATGTCTGTACGGCAAATTTTTACACTCATCCTCAAATTTATGTGACTACGGACGTATATCTGAAAAAGTGGAAGCCCCTTTCCATGAGGGAATAACCCCAGAAGTGAACTGTATTAGGCGTTCCAAGAACGATAGAGGTCGTTGTAAACTAACCTATTTTAGTGGAACGGAAGTCAGTGGCCTCATGGGCACAGTATTATTTTGCAATGACTGGTTAGATAAACAGTAGCTACACACGTTCTAATCATGGACCACAGCCCCGCTTACTTCACCTGTTCACCTCGCACAAGAGCTGCTTAGATTTGTCTTTGAAATCCAAACAGCCGAATCGAAGATAGACAAACAGTGGTTTGAAAATCCTTGTCGTCCTTTCCCACCCTAGATTGATCTTTCACCCGTAAAGCCTTACAGAAGTTCAGAGAAGACCGAATTAAGCGAGTTTCCCACCCGAATGTAAAATGCGAGCATCCTGCTTGAGCAATTTTCTGACATACTGTTTAGTTTTGCTACTTTCTGTTTTCGAACGCTTCCCGCCACACACTGGAAGCTATATTGAGATCACCAACTCCGTTCGCGATATTGCAGCACAGTTTCGTCGTGAAGCTGCGCGTCACGTGCGTTCATTTGAATTGGGTTGGCCCTAGAAGATAGGCTATTTGGCTCTTGCTCAGCACTTATGAAAAGTCAGTTTCTGCCGGGAATGTGAACGTTCTCTCTATCTAAACTTACAGCAAAGTTGCTAGACCACATTTCGTAACGTCTGCTGTATGTTTTCTGTCTCAAGGGTTTATTAGTTTCACCCCTTTATTCCGTTTTTCCATCTGAAAACAGCGGATCTATGCAATACCCTGGATCGAATGCAGGAACAAACAATCGCTTTTGATGATCGTACCAAACGGCGCGCAACGTTCTTTCGCACTGCGGAACAGGAGAGTGCCGCTACCAAACTTCTGCGTACCGGTGCTCAATTAGGATGTCCTCCACTCATGCTTGCTGGTCTGGCCGCTGGAGCTCATCCAGACGGCGAACGGAATCCTTCAGGAAATGGCTCTGAGGACCCTTCGTATACTCCTCTAGTTTGGGCAGTTAGAAGTGGTTCGTTGGCTGCTTGTCAGTTTCTTCTACTTAATGGGGCTGACGTGAGTGGGCTGTTTGTTTGTGTGCGCGCGTTCGTTTTTCTTTCAAGCCGACAATTAATTAAATGGCCACCTGCCGAGGCGTTATTCGACTATATAGGATGCCTAATTTGCAATAATTCTGCTTTGGTCTGGGCATTGCTGCAAATATACGATGAATATACATTTGAATGACCTTCGAAAAACATTGAAGGTTGCGTTCTAGGCAAATGTGTTTTATGGGGTACCAAACTCACCCGTGCCGGACCAACAGGTCTTGTCGCATTACTATAACGTGGCAATACGTAAAAAGATCGACTGCGTTACTTCAAGCTCTTTCATCGACGGAGATTAGGTTCAATTACCTTCCTATGTGAGCCGTGCTGTAAAGATAAATTCTATTGGTCTATTCAACATACCTCATCGAGGAAATTGCGGGGCCTTCCCGGCTCCAGTGACTTAAGTTTGCAGCGAACGCTCTTCGGGGGGCTGCGTCTTGTTGGGAATGACCTCATTTTGAGGTACTGTTCAGCTGTTTCTCTGTATATTCCTGGCTCAGTGAAGCCTGGCTAGTCCACACCCTTCACTTCCACAGATGTCGACTACCAGGGATTTGCCCCGGTTTACTGGTTGCATCATTCAAGAAACCTAATCGTCTTTTGCTGACTTATCTGTTTCCCATGATACCATATTGCCCGTGTTTTTAGCGTGTGGTATTTAGGTCAGTCGCTTTCTAGTGCTCACATTTCAACAGCAGCCTACTTGTCCTTCCTCCACACAACTATGACTGCTTTATTCATGCCCTGGCCGCCTGCAGACAACCATCTGTTTCTGTTATCTGTTAGCTACCAGTGAAAAGAAGAAGGCCTTAGCTGCGGAGTTATTTATTGGAAAATGCCAACTGACCGGTTACAGACCATTGGACAGGGAAGCAAAACTCTCATTTGCATCTTATTTACAAAAACTGGATATCCATCTTCTGAACGCGTCTTCTTGAACCTTCCTGGAAATTCAGTGACTCTAATCATTCATCGCTCAACTCCAAACAAATGTTACAAATCTACTCCACAAATTCCGCAACAGATCTCTCCTTTTCAAGAGACGCAAAGCGAAAATCCGAACAACACATACTGCATTACTCTCCATCAGTAGTATCATCGTTACACCAGCTCCTGGCTCAGAGTTTTCACCCTACATAGGTAGACGTACTCCTTGGTCTCTCTACGTTTAGTCGCGTTGGATCTACTGTCTGTGAGTGTGGCAGCCCAACGTCCATAGCGCCGACCATTGTCCGATATTCATCACCGAAACAATTGGCTGGATCCTCGATTTTTAGCGAGACGCCTATGGAGTGACCGTGTGAGAGCCGATTGTTTTGGTTGTTGATCTATTCGCCGAGCTCAGTATTTGGCTTAAAAACGTCAAATCACTGATGCTTCCTCGCTTAGTGGCCAAATGTTTATAACGCAGTTGCCAAGTTCGACGAACAGACCAATTGTCGTATGGTGCACTCGATGTCGATGATGATAATGATGCACTCGATCTACTCATTTTCCGCTACATTGCCAGAGAAGTGATTTCACTTCAAAGTCGATCATAAACGTGCCAATCGGAATTATGAGATTTCCGTTTTTAATGTTTCCTGAAACTCCAATAAAGACAACGTCTTTCCCCAATGAAATATTCTCAAGCAGAGCAAGTTTGGTGTAATGTCACACTCGTCTAGATCATTTCCTACATCTTATTACCTCTTACATCCCGCGTCTACCACTATAACTCCACTCCCATTTACTGAAATGAAATAATCATAAGGTAAAGATTTCATCGAAAATCAACTCTACGTTGTACGAAAATGCCACGTAGATCAAAGAGCAAAGAAAGGCCCCTACTTTATTCTGGCGCAGAATATTAAGGATCCTGAACCTCAAGAATCCTAACAAACCTGTTTGGCCCATATGGTGTAACATCATTTGTCTTGGATCGGACCCCAACATCTCTCAACGATGGACATATACCATCTTTAGTGATCGGTTAGGGGGATTATTACAGTCCTGACACCTGCACGGAATTGATCAGAGATGGTTGGTTTGGAATATGTACACAACTTGCAAAGCGCGAAAATTCACACGACTTTTCTGTGGACAAACGGTGGTGCAAATCCCATGTTGGGCTGTGGGTTCCTGCTCCATTCACCGTGTTCTGTCAAAAGCTAAGGCAGCCATATGCGCTTACAAAGGGAGATTAATACAACGGTATTTATAATAAGATCAGCATAGAATGTTCCACAAAGTCTCGCGAGAAGCACCGAGCTGTAAATTCTCGATCCTGATAAGCTGACTTTCTGACCAATCAAGGCCTGCCTTCGTTTGGTCCGTTACCCGCACGTGACACATCCGTCCAATCGACCTGATGTCCGGTTGTTAAGAGCGGCTGGTCTCCGTACAACTTCTGAATGACCATTTAGTTTCTGAGGCCTGATCCAGATATTGGAGCATTTGATATCGCGAGTGAACTGTAGTATGGGACGCTCGAGCGGGATAAAAGAACACTTAACACTCCTCGCATTGACTGCTGGTTTCCGTTGGCATACTTGTAGTTTCGATATTACCCGTGTTGATTACAATAAAAGGGATAGTGTAAGAAGGTGCAGGGGTCTATGACCTCAGAACAGAATGGTGGCTGCTCTGAAATAGGAATTCAGTTCAACTTTCGTCCAAAGTACGGCTAAGTGATTTTGAAGCGAAGTAGTCAGAAAAACATGCAATGGATGGTAGCTCGGCATCCATTGTAAAACCCCTCCAATGCGTTTACTAAGTGGGTCATTGATGGCCTTTATGTACGGATATTACTCAATGAATGCACTGGGATATTCTACATATCCATGCTTCATAAGATTTGAATGATTTTTTTCAGCAAGACACGTCATTGTTTACATCTGTGGGAACAATCCTTCACTGAGATGTTCTTCCGTCTTGAGGCCGGTCTGACTACCTGATGCCCCCGACAATTTTTTAAAATTGTACTGAACTGGTCATTTGGACGGACTCAGACCGACTACCAAAATTCCTAATACTTCAGAGATCACTTAATTACGGCGGCAATTGACTTTTACGTGTTGCGCTAGCCTTCTATTGTCCCTCTGCTAATCGTCGACCGTTGGAAAGATGAGGTCTAATGGCGCTTCCCATGCCTTGCACTTACCAACTGGAAATTGTTTTTGAACTCTTCCTGCATCACGATGAAGCTAGAAGTCTACGTAGCCTCATTGGTTGTTCGGGTCTAAACATGTTTTCCGATGCCTTCTCTGAAATGACCGCAGGTTAGCAGATAGTCCTACTCATGAGTTATTATATGAGTTTGTTGCACGTTTACCTACACCAATGGTAATTTCCAAGGTTTTCGAGCCGTCAGGGTTAAATTTATTTGAGGTTTCGGAGGCCTCGTATGTGTAACTCACTACTGTACACACAGTCCACACATTGTTGTGGAAACCCACCGTATTTCAGGTAAAATTGGATAAATAGCCAGGTGAGAAACTGTGTTGCCATTCATAATCCTCTGGTAATAGATAACTGTTCAGATGTGACATCCTTTTGGTGCCTAGTTGCCATGCCAAGGAAGCACGGCGTCTGGGATACTGCCAGGTTGCCCAATCCTAGACAGGAGAAGTCGAGATACAGTGGTAAGAGTCCTTTGAGAAAGCGCTATTGCGCTTTTTGGGGTTGAGCTCGTCTACCAGTGTCAAAATCCGTCAGATGTCTATTGGTGACCGTAGTGCTAGAAGAATTTTGTTAAGCCGATGTTTATCTGTTTTACTTTATAGCAACTGTGTCGCGTATGAGAATAGGTTGGATCCAGTTATATCGGTAGAAACTTGCCCAGGCCGATAGTTCTTAGCAATGTCCGGTTAGTTTCATCTAATTTCGGTAGCACTGACAGAGTTCATATACTGAACGTTTGACATCCAGTTGGGCGGTCTTTATCCAGGTTTTCAGTTGCTATTCAACTCGGAAGTTCTCAGCCAATCCCAAAATGCATTCTCTCACACGGCGAAGTACTGTATGGCGTTAACAGAGCTTCATTCCGGACACCCCCATGCTTTAAATTAACAAACATAACAAACATAACAAACATAACATAATTATTAGAGAAATTTAGCACAGACTCCACGTATTCCGAATGGTCGCACACTTCTCACCTATTCATAGTCATCCTCATGAAAGCATGCAGATGCATTCTTTTACGGTAGTCAGTTTTCTTGGTGGCGCTGCTGTTTCTGGGGGATACTGAATCGGAAAAAACACGTTTCTTTAAACCTCTACTGAAAAATTGTGTCGTGGTAGTTGCATAACTGAATTCATAAGATGAGGAAAATTAACATGTATTGAGTGGTAGATAATGTGAACCATGTACCTCGTCTTAGGATGGATCCCGGACGAATCATGCTCCGTTTCGGAAATGGCGTGCAGCAGAAGCAGCCAGATAACATCGTGGTAGACAGTGGATGAAGAACAAAATAAGGAGATTGCTACCGTTCCAACAATCGTGTGCGACTGCACGAACCTCGAACCTCAAATGACCTTTTACAGACAAACGAAACTCTGCGGCTTGGTCCAGAAAGTTATGATACTCATCGTAGGGATTGATGAGTGAATTCACGAGTCATACACATGTGTGCACAATATGCAATTTGAGCATGCACAATTTAATGGCCCTCTATTTCTCAGATGTAATGCTCACAACCTCAGATCAGTAAAATTGCACAGATTGCTGAATTATGCAAAAACACATGCACACCGAATTTCAATGTCGACATTTTTTTGAAAGGAAACAATCGGAAAATGGCCGCGGTAAAATGACTAACTTTTTGGCCGTAGGTTGGTTGTCAATTTGACAGAAATAACTGGGAGCGTGATTATCCAACTACATGAATAATGTTTACTAATTTGATCGAAACTTCATTCCGAAACCTGTGCCTGTCATTCGTTGTTCTGTCCAGGTTTGTACCTTTACTTGTAACTTGACGCCCTGCTTGTAATTGAATTCTTGTGTTTTTAAAGGTTTACATGACGGTCTGCAACAGTACGTGGCCTAGGACAACCATGTTACTGTAATCGCCAAAATAGATCAGACCGATCTAGATCAAGGTGCGAATAAGGCGAACCATTTCTCCGCTCCGTCTAAATGCGATGACCCATTCCATCCAGGGTCCAGCCTACGTTTATGTGAGCCATAAGAAGACTTCCTGTTTTTTTCACAGCGTAACACTTCACTGACGTAGCAGTCTATTGTTATTGTTTGTTATTGTCTTCATATAGTGTCCACATTGTTCAAGACTGGTAAAAACGAGTAAGGTAATCAAATATTCAGTACGATCATCCAAAAAGCTTTGATGGCTTGAATTAGGAGGCCGATTGTGATCGAGCCAGTCACATGAAGACCTGTCCATCTTGGCCTCAAAGACGCTTGGTTAAACAGAAAGGCAGTGTTAAAGTAGGAGGATGGTTGGTAATTGATCAGATAGATGTTGATCTGTTCGCCGAGCTTGGCAATTGATTTGCAAACGTTTCGTCACCATTCGAGGAGACATCTTCACTGCGCTGAACCAACCAACAGCGCACTGAAGATTTCTCCTCGAATGGTGACGAAACGTTTGCAAATCAATGGTCAAGCTCGGCGAACAGATCAACAGCCACCTGATCCATTACCAACTAATACACCCGAGCTAGCAATATTCCAACACATTAGGAAGATGGTATAATCTTGGCTTTTCAGCATGCGAGCTTTTGATCATAGAGGGTCGCGAGTAGGATTCAAAGGTCAAAATGAATAATTCTTATGGGAAGTATGATTTAGTGAAAATATATACAGAGGTGGACCTGACTTACCACCGACACAGTCAACAGTGCAGTGGATCTCAGATTTCAACTGGATTCCTCCACTAGAACGAGTTGAATACACTTGGTATTTGCGCCATGACTGAAAATGATGCGAATCACATTTTCTCTCCTGAGTTCAGTATTCCAGCAGGTATGGTTGTTGCCGTTTCGTATCTTAAAGATCATCAGTAACATAGCTGAATTGGGCTTCATGCTGTCGCTAGCTGTCATCCCTGTCAGTCCTTGTGAAGCAAATTTCAAGAATAATTCCATACCTAGACTAACAGAAACAGTTTGTGGACTTAAATTTCGATAATCCTGATCCGTACTCAGTTTGCGGCTGGATTGTTGCCCCAACTTGAGGAACAACCACTTTCCCCCAATCAGCAATCAATCTAGTAGAAGACCATGGTGTTGTTTCATTTTGCCGCGGTAATTTTTCGATTGTTCTTCCGCTGTGAGCCTCCTGAAACCTGATAGGCCTGGACATTTGATTCGTGCGATTTTTTACTGTTCATCAACCGGAACTCTCTTTGTCAAAGATTTGAAACGATAGAAGTTACATTTGATAAACAAGGCATTGCTCCAATTTCGCGGGATATATCGCCGTCCGTAGTGATTGGGTGCACATTCCATCCTAGCTGTCCAATAAGTAGACGCACAATACTGTCAACTGCTATCACTTGTGGTAGGGTTATGTATAACCGGCAATTTCCAAGAAAGGAACCATACATAATACGTGTCGACAAATAAACAGCAAAGTTGCGGCTTGTGTGCACCTCAAAACGGAAGCGAAAATAAACTAAGTGAATATGGACGGCTGCTGACCGTTTTGGGACCTGTTTTCCTCCACCTACGGTGTATTTTATCCGGTATTTAAACGTGTGGAACTTCGTCGCTGGTTGACTAATTTGCAATGGATTCGCCCGTGAGTCTTGGGACCATCAACACTTGGTTAGTCTTTTTCAAGTTACCTAGATTCGAATGTAGCCGAAAACATCCGCAAACGTTAAGAAAGCGGACTGCGCACTGCCTTTAATAGTCATCGTGTTCGAGTGACCGGCTCAGCACAGTGCCGTTTGTGTACACAGCTTGCAACTAGGACTAAACGATAGCAACTTATGGATGACCGCCTGGCCGGCAAGTGCACGGAAATTCGCACACTTTCAGGATGTGAAACGTCATTTTCGACTCTTGATGACGGGGTGTATTGTTCTAGGTCTGTCGTCACTTGTCATTGTTTCGTAATAAACAACGTTTGGGCTGTTCAGGTGCTCGTTATCCGAGAGTTGTTTCCCTAAGTCGCAAGTTTTCTCACAATTTGGTTGCACGCAATTCTCGACGGATTCATGATCGTAATTTATGTCACTAATCGATTTTGCATTTAAACGTCACATTTGATGCATGACAAAAATGGATACATTGGAGTGCGGAAAGGCAATGCATCCTTAAGAAACTGTCCCCCTTTTAGAATAAATATTTAATCGAATACAGCTTGGGTGTACCTCACGCAGTGGTAAATAAGACCGGCAAATCACCTGGGTTGTAACCGTAAGAAAAGCTTTTCATGATGCACGCGACACTTTAAATTCTCTATTGTGCGAATTAATCGGGGGTTGGTAGGAAAGGTAAGGTCCCTCTCCAACCGATGATGATCTGGCTGCTGGAATTGTAAGTGTTGAACTGGAAATTTGAAGACTTCCCCCGACAGGGACTGCAATTGAGTATGCTTTGTCGCCCCCAGATTCACTTATAACCCTTACTTTTTCCTCTAATGCGAGACTATTCCTTACCAGTTTGATGGAACCCGTACGGCATACAAACAAAGTTGAAGCGACAGTGAAGTAACCTGCATCCCCTTTCATGCCTGGCGCTTGTACCTGGAGCACGAGTATTCATCTTTCTCACCTTTACTGTGATCTCAGTTGTGACTATTTGTGGCCCAATCATTAACCACCAGCAGATGACTGTTAAACCCCTTAATTTTCGTCATTTTGAGGTTCGAATATACTATCCTTGCTCAATTCTTATATCACTGACACAAAGTCCGCTTTTTCCGACTCTAAGATAATTCGTTTGCTATTTTGTTCGACGAGCCAAGAGCACTCGACTGGGATGTGCGAATTTCCACCAATATTTTTGAGGTGGGCACCATGTTATGTTTACAATATATGGTCTACCCTTAACTCTGTTTATGAGTTCACGACAGTTCCGTTTCTTCCATGCTCACTGGTTTTGAACGAAGTAGAGTGTACGGTACTGTTTGAAACAATCAGGCGATCAACTGGGTGATGACTTCCGTTCTGGTTGTACACACTTTCTGAGTATTGAACCTCACGGCGCTTTCGGCTCATTTTGATTTCCAAAGCGTGCTGCTTTGTTGCTTTAATGATTTTGAGAGCATATGTCGAGTGCTTTCACGTGACTAACTGTGGCTGGGTGTTTGATGTATTCCATTGGCAGTGATGCACTAATATGATTGAAGTCGAACGTGGTTGATGAGTATTGAGGAATATTGTGGAATATTAAGCCCCATGTAGTTTTCCAATCAATTCGTTGTTCCTGTTTTGAGGCATCGTAGCCATCCTTACATATCAGCAGAACATGCTCATTCGGTGTCATAAAGAAGTCTTTGCGACTCCCTGTCCCGTTAAGGGCTTCCACAGAAAATAATTTCTAGAGCACACATGTTATGTTCTCTTGCATTAAATGCGCTGTTGAAGAATGCTAGCTCTGTATTTGAATATGCTCACTCTCCTATATGCTTTCCATTGGAATTTCTTTTTAGACATGAGCGCTGACCTCCTGGGGCTGTCACACTTTTTTTCAAATCCTTCGTTCGCTTGATCCATCATAATGTACCACGCAGTGGTGCCTGTTTGTATCCGTCATCTTGTGACATACGGCATGTGCTTTGCAAATGCCTCGTCTTCGAAGACTAGTTCCATGAAACATTTTGTACTGGCTTGAATCTCATCTTGCATTCTGGGTTGCCGATAAAATTATCCGTTATTTATGGCAGGTTTTTTACAGGTCTATCTTTCAGGTTTTTCTGTGGAAGCTAGTTGAAAGTGACTATAACCACCGTTGTGTTGATTACTTGTTTTCCATAGAATGCCTCCTGACATGGCATTGCGTTCTTATACATGAACCGCTGGCTGCTCCAACGGAATCACCTTTTGATCTGATTTGGGCCTTTTGATACTGCTCTGTCAAATCTGAGTTGTAACTTCATGACTTCATCCATTCTGCAATTCTACATCTGGTTCTTGTTGACTCACTCTATGGATACTGCTTAAGTACTTTAAGTAGATTGTTCCAAATCAGCTTTTTGCCATCACTGTTAAGGTTAACTGCTTGTATGTTCTTTGATAGATCGATGCACAAGATCATCTCGGGCGCACAGCCCTATATCACGCCTGCAAACTTCAGCGCGTTCACATTGTCTGCCTTCTGCTACGCCGACGAGCCGATCCAAGTCGTGCAGACCACAACGGCAAACTCCCCTTAGATGTCGCAGTGGATATGAAGAACGCAGACATTGTAACCCTTCTGCGTTTGCAGCGGCTACAGGACGAACATAAAGTGAGTGTTTTCGACGAACGCATCTATGTAGTCAAAAGTCTGTCATATTTTTTGGTGTTCTTGCCCATATCTCTTTGCTCAAACCGCTTTAGGTGAGAACTTGTCGATCTAAATTGCTGCATGCCCCTTTCAAAAGGGAGTGTCCGCATATATTTTCAGAGCTTGAGCCATTCTGTCCTTTGATGTGTGTTTCACACCCTCAAAATGTAAAGTCATCCTGCCTTATACCCAGCCTCTGAATACCCCTTTTACAATTCAGGGGTTGTATTCAAGGTTGCAGAGACTTATTAGCCAGAATGACAGTGTGACAAATAAATTTGCCGCACGATTGTCAGAAGCTAGAACTGAGTTCCTGTTTGCTGTTGTTCTTGTCGTTGTTGTTGTTGCTGTTGTTGTCGAAAAGACCCGTTGGCTTTCAACAGTCCTTCATAATAGACTGTAGCATTTATGCCCGTAGGAAATGTGAAGCATCTCCAGATCTCTGAACACTGATCTTTCAAAACCGTCGCCGACTTACATTCTGCGACCAGATAACGTGACGACTTCGATTTCACCATCAACCGTCGTGTTGAATTCCCTCACAGTTCCGAGCTTGAAGACAATTAAGATCAAGTGAAGTGAAATCTGTCGCGAAAACTTCAGCTTTTTTAGGCCAAAAGGAGATGCGTAGATGCATAATAATGCATAATGGCTAGACAATACAGCATTTTCGGTTTTGTTAGATATGGACCAGTCTGAAACGTTCGTCAGTATATTCAGGGTAGTTCATTGCATCATTCGCTCATATCCGAAGTTTACCGACCGTGGCAGATCTGTTTCAAATGAAAGCAGTCTCTAGGTGACCGATTCCTGCACCGGGCTTTGGGGCATTTAAATAAATCCACAGCAACTGAGCATTCGAGAGACTTGATTTTTCTCGTAGTCACACCGCCTGCCTGGTATTATTCCAGGGTTTATGTGGTAATCAATTCTCACTATCCACTATGTGACTGTGGCAGCCTATGTGGATGAACAAAGCTCATGAGTTTGCAGCTGTAGTTCTGCACTCCTTATTAACGTGCAATCAACGCTGATACGGGGCGAATCCTACAGACTAGCGAATTTCCGTTTCGGAACTTGATATCGATTGGTATTGCGTTGGCGGAACTCCGTAAAACTATGTCACACACAAATAACCTGCCCAGTAAACCTCATCTCGCCTCTTAGCATCTAGTAGGTTGAACACGAGTATCAGTTCTGGACGAACTGGGTCATTGAGGCGATTCTTTATAAGGGTCAAGATGGCTCAAGTGGTTAGAGCGCGAATTTACTCACCGGAAGGTCCGTGGTTCGAACCCGACCTCTGCCACTCGACTTCCCCTCTTTAGGCTTGGGCGAGCTGGCAGTATCCCGGCTTCGCCGTCGCGGCGAAGCTACTGGCAAGATCAATATTCATGAGTTTGTCTCGAATTACGATAAAACGGTATACACCGTTTCCGTCATGCTGGTTGTCCCTCATTTTCAGATAGGTAGGCCGGTGTTAAACTTCTTTTGTTTACTAGACTGCCATAAAATAAACATACCTGACTACCGCTCACAATCCATTCTTGGGCGAGTGGCAGTATCCCGGCTTCGCCGTCGCGGCGAAGCTACTGGCAAGATCAATATTCATGAGTTTGTCTCGAATTACGATAAAACGGTATACACCGTTTCCGTCATGCTGGTTGTCCCTCATTTTCAGATAGGTAGGCCGGTGTTAAACTTCTTTTGTTTACTAGACTGCCATAAAATAAACATACCTGACTACCGCTCACAATCCATTTTCGGACACCGGAATAGACTTACCCCGGTTTCCGATCTCAGCAGTCGACCGCAGGCTAGTTTGGTTGTGCCTCATTGCTTATTGTCTGTTGCCACCATTTCTGTATTGTGTTACTAGCCACAATTTGTGTGTGGACGTTTTATTCTGTGGAGGTGAAACATGGTTTGGGGGAAATGCCATAATATGTGGGTTTCATTCACTGGTTCTGATGGATTCGTCTCTGTTCCAGCATTTATAGTTAATGTAGGGTTCCACTCATGTGTGCGAGCCCTTCGGCGCCCTGATACTGAAGCACATGATGCAGTCTTGTGTCTCCGTGTGAGTAGATTTAACCGTTTCACTGGAATTTAATCCAAATACTCACAATGGTACAGTCATTTGCACAGCAACTTGTGTGGGGCGCACCGCATTTTTATTACGACTTGCGTGCTATACTGTTCAAGCACTAATATGTTTGCGATTAACGACTAACGATCTTTGGACACATCACCCATCCCCAGCGTGTGGTCCGGCTGAATCGTTCATTTATGATGTCCTTCGATCGAGTGTGTTGTGCAGCGGCTGTCTCGAAGTTCATTTGCTCCTATATTTAAGATCTGGTGTTTTCCTTCGTTGGCAATATGAATTGTGTGACTGATGGAACATTGCGGGCAGCTCAGAATGTGATTGAGAGTTATTGGACAGCGGTTTTGGACTAGAGATCTGAAGCGTACAAGGGTATCTCCCGGGGCTGTCTGATCAGGTGACACTAATTGGCTGATTAGCTGCGACTTGCCTAGTGAACTGACAGGCCATCAAAGGACGAACGAAGCTTGGAAACCAGTTCTCACCTGGCTAAAGCAGACCACACGGATGTGCCACAGATCTTACTCTTCATTTATACATGACACACTTTACACAAAACAGACATCGATGGATTCAGCTTTGTAGGGACCCCATTTAGGGCTGAATATCATTCGTCTCCGCTCTTCAGTGCCAGAGCTGCACCTGCTGTCATACAATCAGAAAGGTCAGATTTCCGAAAGTAACCACTGGGTGCCCGAAATCTCCTCCTCCTAGGTAAACTTAAATGGGCTAGACAGACACTACCTGAGGAGTCTACCGCCATCCTTAAAAAGGGCAAGTGGAATGTCGTCAGGACCAGCAGCACGATGACGCTTGAGTATAGAAATACATTCGGACACTGCTGAAACTGAAAGCGCTTCCATATTTACGGTCCAGCTTTCTGTTGAAGGCCAGGATTTTGGCTTGTAGGTAGCAGGTGGCCAGCTGAATTGCTGTTCGAAGTACTGCGGCATATCAGGGAGCCGTTTTGTTCTGATAATTTCGTTTTCAAGAGTCTTTCGAGGACCAGTCGAGCGAATCAAGTGGAACAGATTACGGACTTTTTCAACACTTTTTGACTATTCAGTTTCTCCGACTTTTCGGTTCTGCTGCTCCGGAAGTTGGTACTGAAAAAGAATACTGTGGTTGGCACTGAAGCACGCAATCTCTGTTGTCCATGCGTTTCGTCGTCAATCCAAGACGATCACCCAATCGAGCCTCTGCAGTGCTTCGTATACGTACCTGGGCGTTCATTTCACCACCAACCACAACGATGTCTTAGGTTTTAGTCCGTTGTAAAAGAGAACCTAGAGCGTCATAGAATCTCTCTGGCAGATTCGGGGATGCATTTAGTTAGGATGTAAGCAGACACAATAAATAGGGTGCAATGCACAGCACTTTCTCTATATTCTCTCAGACGTTGCTAAACGATCCGCGCAGAGGCGACTATCAGAGGTATCTAATCCAGTAGATGCGCTTCCGCTTGCTCTCAATACAGTATACACGCCGGTATGTCCAACTGCAGCGGTCTCTACATCACCAGAGTTAAGCAACTGGAACCTGGAAGAAAGTGAGGGGGCATTATGTTCGATCACAGTACCTGCAAACATGTATGGTTTTCGAACGTATACTTTCCTATTCAAAGAAAGGATGCGGGGATTGTGGGATTCCATACATAACTCACAGGTACTATTATCTTTGATAACAATGTAACGGAGCAGTTAAGAAGCAAATCTACAAGACCAGAACTGTTTTTGCTATTGTGCGCCATTTGTGAGACTAAAAAGTCTTACCACTGAGTCTCAAAGGACGTGTTTTTCAGAATATGGTACGGGTCGCATTGTCATACGATTGTGATAGGAAGTGCACGTGCAAGATCTGGGGTATCCTCAAACCTTCCACGAATTCGCAATTAGGTGATCAGGAAACGGCGAAGCAGCAGACAGTTTACTTGAAAAATTCATTCGCTACTGGAATTTACTGTGGCTGTGTCACGTAGTACAAATAATAAGTCACGATCTCCCGAAAAGATTATTGTTTTCCATTCGTAATCAAGTGACGAAAGCTCGACAGAAATAATTATAAGGTATGACAGACGCGTCCGAGTGCTGTCTGACCGCCTTTCATGACGAGCCCACGTGATCCTCGTGTTTGTTTGGAGACACTGTGGGACGGGGCAACTAGCCAGTATCATGCTGCCAGTTTCCATCTAGCGTGTCTAAATGTTGGAAGTGTGTAGCTTGGATGCTTGCATTCCGCTAACGCAAGGTGCATCTTCCTGTCGCTTTTTCATTTCTTTATGGGACTTTATTTTAATGGATTGAACTCGTGCTACAACAACAAAGCGGCTAACGTTACTGTCAATGATGATGGTGATGTTCCTGCTGTATTTAAGAGCAGTGAAGGGGTACTCGCGTGTTTGAGTATCTCGATTCACTGTCCAGCTGGTTCTATCTACATCATCACAAATTGTGCACTCGATATTCTGCTCACTTCAATCATGGGTAGTTTGTATCGGCGGAGCAACTGCCTTTGCCTCTGGTGAAAAAAAACAATGAAATATGTCCGGTTTATGTTTTAGCCACTTCATCCCAGTCGTTTTAGAATTTACTGTCGTGTGTTGTTGAAGATTGGTCTTGAAGATGCGCAAGGCTTTCTCGTATTCGGCAGCTTCTATAACCCTTTAAATCAACCCTTTAAAAACATTCATAATGATCGCTTGTCCCATCGCATTACTTTCCTACAGGATTCAGGTAACAACTTGAGCGATGACATTGTCACAGACGTTTTTCGGGACTACACTTCACGAGCATACTTTTGCGAATCAGACACGGAGTCGGACAACACAGATTTCAGCGATTTCACTGAGCTTCGACATTCGAGGAGTTCCCCAAACATCAGTTTGACTTCCCCAAGATCCAGACAACCAGACGAGATTCATTCTTCATGTTCGAATAACCCAACGGTTCAATGTGTTCGTGTTCCCCGAATACTGTCCCAAGTGCCGACAGCCGATGCACGACGTAGGTTCGCCTCTCCCTCGTCCACACACAACGACGCCTGCAGAGTACAGTCGCCGAAATCTACCAATGGAGTAAAGTACATCCAAATTCGCCGATTGGCTACAAACGAACGGACCTAGAATCTGGTTATTCATCCGTTCATTTGTTCGTTTTGTTTTTCTTTTTCATCACGTTTTGTACACAGACATCAGAGTATCCACTTTTCTACCGTAAACCAATCAACTATCAACTTGCAATCATTTTCTTTATTTTTACCGATTTACGTGCCCTGATCATTTGACTGGTATTCTGCTAGCTGTTTCGTGCTAATTTATCACGTTACGCTACACCTGGATCCAGAATGCTCAATTCTTTCTTTCATTCCTTTGTTTTTCCTGCTTTGTTATCCCTTTACAGTGAGGTTTTTATCTTTCCTCCACTCCCAGCGATCTACTTAACCATGATAGTTTGTACTATTTTCACTCTTGATTCAGTTTTGCTTGTTTGCTGAAGAAGACTGGTTCCGTTCCTAGAATATACTAGTTTAAGATATCATCACATTTTTCCCAAAGGGTTATCAGGTGGCATGTCCTGTTATGGATTGTCTACTGGACGTACACGCTTGCCCGTAATAAACTGCTTCTAAGGTAGTCCGGTTGAGAAACAGGCTGGTCCACGTGACCACTTTACCACATTCCCGATTTATCCTGGGATTGCCTGCAAAGCATCTCGACCGGGATAAACGTGCGGCTGTTGTTGACTGCCGGTTGAATTTCCGTTCTGTATCTTTAGAAGTAGGAGTCAATGTGGCTTGGTAATTAAGACACGAACTTACTGACCAGAAGGTCCTACTTCAGTGACTTTCCTGTTCTTTTTTAGGCTTGGGTAACCAAACAGTACCCTGGCCTTTGGGCTTCCTTCTAGTGTCATAGCAGTTAAGCACCGAGAGGGTGCCAACGAACAAGGGTTGAAAATACTGGGTGACTTTCCACTCCGGCTTGTTTGTAACGTGTGCAATACTTTAACCGGATTCCTGCTGTGATGGACAGAGAATTTTGAACTCCCGAAATTAGAAGGTGACTTTTTCTATTTTTCAAGCTTGTCAATTCGGCTGCAAGTATTTAATTCCCAGCTTCGTTTGAGTTATGCAATCACACACTCGGAACGGAAGTTTGTCATACGGCCCACAGACTTTACTTAGTTTTGACTAAAGGCGGGTAAAATGGTCGACTTGTCCTCTTTTGCGCTCGAGGTAGCTCTGTGGTTTATACGCGAACTTACCGAACGGAAGATCCATGGTTCAAACCCAACCACAGCTGTTGTTGTGTTTTCTGGACTCGGGTAACTTCGCAGTATCTTGGACTTCGTCCTTCCTTCATCAGCTGGTCATTGAGCCGGTGCTACAGTTGAACGGCTATCACCTGCATTTCGGTTAATTTCCTCAACTTGGCGATTCCAATCGGCCACCTCGTTGTGCAATTAGCTGTTTTGACCATATCTGATTATTTTCCAGGAGCTGAAAAGTCAACAAAATATTACTCGGAAGTGGTCCCTAACTGTCCATGGCCGACGACGATTCTATCACTCCGAATCATGAGAAATCTTTGTTAAATCAGCAAGGAGTTGTTTCTCTAGTATAAAACGTTCATGGAGCAACTGATGTATGCAATCGAGTGGGTCCTGAACGCTAATCCGCTGAAGACAAACGAGCAAAACAACTTATTCAGTCAACTTGAATGACCTAATCGATTGAGTTTACAGTTTGGTTTGGTTGTGTAAGTGGTAAGCCCCCTGGCCAAATTTGAAGATCATCTCTTCCAATAAGGAAAATTCGGACTGCGAACTAGCAAGTTACTCATTTATGTGCTTCGTTTTATGAACCGTTTTATGCACCATAGAATTGCAATCAGAGAAATCGTCTTGCATTTTAGCTCCAATTCCAACCACATGTGTCGGTACCTCTGAAAGGCGATTACTCTCTGAAATTACATCTCCATCATCACGTGAATGGACACATGTACAATATGCACGTTCGCAATCCACTACAATCTTTGAACCTAATAAATAAGATGCGATGCTCTTAGCTATGCAGATTTGGCAGACATCATTCCTCCTTTGGTTTACGCTGTCATTCTACTTGCAAAACATGTGACAACGCTTTCGATTAGGTCGATTTACGATTGATGGGATGTACGATCTCCCGGGTCATTTGTTCATTAACTTTAGAAAGTATTGTTTCTAAGACACTAGTCACAAACTAGATATCTGGAATCACATTTATAATACCCTATTTTCCCAGATGAAAGGAAATCAAACAGTTTGCGTTCCACTAGCGCTGAACGACAGACAAAAAGACCACCTTCCGCGTTAGTTCTCTAGACGGATGGTTCGTCTAGCGTGCAGTTGTGTTCATTCTACCACTACGCACCTTACAGAGACCTCGTAGGCCCATTCGATTAGACTGGTTCATTTCGTTCAAGTAGCTGTCTTCAAAAGAAATCATTGGCCGCTGGAGTTGCAACCGAATAATTTAATCCAAAGTTTGTCAGCGAACTTGGGAAACGGTTTGCATCCAACTTAGTAATTCCGTAGACTTCAAAACTCGATGTAAGAGCCAGATCCGCTTGTGTATTTTTAGTTGTGGATGGCTAACTGCTCCGGCAACCGATTTCGCATTTGTGCATTCATACCTTCAAATGGACCACCACACCACCTGTCAACAATTCCATGCACGTCCTGAACGTGAGTTCGAAGATGGTTTTTACCTTCCAATCGGTTTGCTTCCAGAACTGTTCTCGTCTGATGTACGAATAGATTCATTCCATAGATCCAAACTTCATCATTTTCTCATGTAACAGTTGAAGACGCTACAAATCTTAGCAGTCACTGTTATCTTTCACAGCCATGTGTTGCAACATTTGAAGATGAATGAGGTTATGATAGTGTCCTCAAGTTTGTGATCCTTCCAGCGCATTCAGTCATCAGCTGGGAGTTCGCGATCCTTGATGAATATTGCCCCGAATTCATACGCTAGGAATTGCGCTCGTCAAACAGTGTGTCAGGCATCGTACAAAGACCTTATCATCAGTAACAGCGGGCGCCATGAAGCCTTTTAATAGGTCACATAATCAATCTGAACTATGCATGCTTTTGAAGTTGACAGAATCACAAGTACTGTTCATTGTGAAAAGTGGTCAGCTGAAATTCACTCTGTCGGACTCGTTGGCTTACTGTCGCATAGCTTGATTGATTACAAGTTGTTTGAGTAAATTCTTTCACGAGGTATTATTTATCGCATTCGTCGGGTCGATAGGGTTTCTCTCCCTCACCTGGTCATCAGAATCCCTCTTTTTCGCCTTCTGCTGTAAAACAAAAGAAATAAAAAGACCGGAACAAGCGGTTATTCAGAACAGAACGGACTGTTTCCCTTTGATTGCTCCTCTCTAGGTGGGAGAGCATGTCTATGTTCAAACTTTCTAGTTAAAAAATCAGAATCAGTTCTAATAAAATCGTTTATAACATCATTGGTATGTGACTTAGATGTGGCTTGGATGCAAGCTGGGAACAGGTCCGGCGAACGCCTGTTGATTTGCTGGACCATGACTGTTTAAGTTTAACACCTGTAGTCCCAACTGATGTTTACACGCTGATTCCAACATCAGTGCTGTCACTTCGAAATACTTTCTCAGCTAAGTGGAGATGTATCATGGGCGATATTTTACTGAGACTACGGTGTTTCTCCAATTCCACATTCCTGGGTTCACATATAACTTTTTGCCGGGTAAAAACACCAGATCGAAGTTCCAGCTGGAAAATGCTTTTGAGCCTAGACTTCGGTGAATATCGTAATTCACGAGAAAGAACGATCATGATTAGTTGGCTAGGTGTTCTGTTGAATGTGTCTTGTTTGAACGGTACTCCTCTTTCTAGTCCGGCACAGTGATTCCGCTGAGCCCACACCAAAGGACGGAAGCACTGAACGCGAATGTCACTATTATTTGAACTAATCAGCAGTGAGTATTACTGGTTATGCCGGGATTCGGACTTCAGATATGTGTTGTACGGTGCGGGCGTCCCACCACTACTCCGCCGCCGTGCACCGGACGCACCAGAATTACCACATCTGAACAGGGCAACTTGTTCATGCCTTGATGGTTTAGTCCGATAGTGTTCCAATTCCTCCGTGCTGTTTGGGATTTTACATTCCAGTGAATTTTCACATGGCTAGTCACGTGTTAATGCCGGTGCAAGGGTGCTGCGCAAGGTCATTGGCAGCTGAAGCTGCCGACTTCCTAGGGTCGTTTACGTTATCGAATGTAAATTTAACCCAGGCATTTTCTGATTATTAACCTTGTTGTGGGTAACAAATCATCCTAGTTGTCAACTAGGTTCATTCATCCCGAACACATAACATTTCAATGGCAGAATTATACGATGCGGGATCCCAGTGGATGCACATATATTTGTTTACTCAAGCGTTCGATGTTCCGAAATACCGAACAACAAGAAAATAAATAGGTTAACTGCATTCTGCGATGCCTTATCTGTTCCAAATGATCTCAGCCATGAAGGCACCTCACACATACTTGTAGGTGCATGTGACCGTCAGTTCCCAAGCAGTTTATCGTATGCTACCTGGAGGCTGCCGTCAAACGCTATTGCCTGTGACGGAAATATCTAGGGTTGGACTTTCCCTGCGTGGTTGTTTGATTAATTTGGGCCCACTATATTGAAGTATGCATACTAAAATTATCCGAAGCCATAGAAGAAAATGTTGTAGCTCAGGTAGCATAGATGGTCGTTGCTTTGTTCGCTGAGATGGGCAATTTGATTGCAAACGTTTCATCACCAATGTAATTGCCCAGCTCAGCGAACAAACCAAAGACCATGGTCCGAAGCTATCAAGAGTCTCATGAATGCTGATGATTCCAAATAGGAATAAAACAGCTGTGCTTCATGGCAGAGACTGATTCCCCTTACAGGACGGAATCTCACTTGAAAACAGTGCAACATCTACCAACTTTCTAGGTCGGGATACAATGGGATACGCTTTTTCAAACTGCGTTCTTGGGCAATTTACTTAGATATGTGCGAAAATATTCATGACCTGGGGGAAGTAGCAATCCACGATGGAAGTCTCGTTGAGCCTAGTCAGAGTAGATGTCTCAGAGACGATGGTACCTACAGTCATCCGTATTATCTCTAGCAGTCACGGCAAATGATACCTTGATTTTAGCTTCCGATCGATATTTCAACGTATTTCCGATATTTTGAGTGATATTCACTCTAGGAACTCTGTATCAAGAGGTCACGTTTGAGCAATCCTCGACATTTATGGTGTCACGGTAACCTGGCCTGGTATCGTGACATAACGATGTTTTGGTGATCGTGAATCACATGGAATCTAATAGAAAGAATGGATCTACAGTTTCTGGACTTTTCGAGAAGTCACCATGGCTTAGAGAATTTCATATTTTTATGGTCCACGAATTCCCGTACCATCTTGTATCCCACCCAGATTAATCGCA